CATTTTGTGGCTGGCTCCGCCTCCTCCCAATCAGGATGTTAAGAACACAGGTGTAGGATCTGGGTCCCTACATTGTGTGCTTCCCCCCCCCCCCTTTCCGGATGTAAGAACAAAGGTCTGAGTTCTGGGAGCCTACATTCTGTAGTACCCCGCCTCCATCAGGATGCAGTATGTGGGTCCCTTACACCAATAAGGAGCTGCGGTGGCTCAAGTGGTTAAGACGCTGAACTGCAGGCTGTGGCAGGTTGGCAGTTCGAGACCCGAGTGTGCCGCGTGATGGAGTGAGCTCCCGTCTCTGGTTCCAGCTCCTGCCAACCTAGCAGTTCGAAAGCAAGAACTTGCAAGTAGATAAATAGGAACCACTTCGGTGGGAAGGTAACAGCGTTCCGTGCGCCTTGATGTTTAGTCATGCCGGCCACATGACCACGGAAACGTCTTCGGACAGCGCTGGCTCTTCGGCTTGGAAACGGAGATGAGCACCGCAACCCTAGAGTCGGACTCGACTGGCTTTCGAGCAAGGGAACCTTTACCTTTACATTACACCAATAAAGGGTTAAGTTCTGGGACCCTATATTCTGTACCCCCCCCCCCCCATCAGGGTGTAAGATCTGGGTCCCTACATCCTGCTACTTCCCCAGTTAGGATTTTAAGAACACAGGTGTAAGATCTGGGTCCTTACGTTCTGTCCCGTCCCCCCCCTTCAATCATTCCTACATGTGGGGAACTTGCTAAAAGCGTTTGGTGGTTGTGTGAATGATCACAAGAATGGCCTGATTCGATGCTTTCCAGTGTTTGTGTGTGTCTTAAAACTGCTTTTAACTTTGCCCTCCTCTCCTCTTAATGCTTCCGTGTAGCAGCTACTCCATCCGTCACTCGATAAGTATGCCGGCCATGAGGTAACGTAACAAAAGCCGCATCTGCATGTCTGCCGTGGGGAAGGTGGCAAAACAGAAGTGGGGGTTAAAATGAAATGTTGTTCAAGTTCAGAAAAAAAAAAGAGTATTCAAGATTACAGGCACACGTCTCTTCCGTCGTCTTCCCTTGGTCTTTGCGAATTGGGCTGAGAAAATGCTTCAGCTCTGCCAAAATCCCGAACAGGAATTCTCATTTTCTAAAAAGGTCTGGCAAACATTTGGGTTTAGAATCTGGTTTACCCAGTTCATTTGTAAGGGGCTGGTGTTTGTCATTCCTGCCAGATCTAGCACGAGAAAACGGTGCCTGGAGTGATTGCTGCCTATTGTGGGAATGGTTGTCACCTTGTGGAAATGATTGTCGCATTACGTCTGCAGCTTTGAATAAAGACACCTTGTAGGACATCTTAATACGGGGTCATGGATGTGTAAATCGTAAAACCTTTCCAGTGGAAAGATTTATCTGAAAGGCATCACAGGAAAAACACAAGGTGCTTTCGGATATGTTTTTTTTATACACAAACACACAGATATACGTACATACACGTTAATATTTGGTTTTTATCCAATTCTTTCTATATTGTCACACTCCTTGGATCCTGAAATGCCCTGGAGGAAGGAGGGTGTCAGTTTGGTGTCGTGGTTAAGTGCGCGGACTCTAATCTGGGAGAACCGGGTTTGATTCCCCACTCTGCCACTTGCACCTGGCTGGATGCCCTCGGGCAAGCCGTAGTTCTCTCTGAGCTGTTCTTGAAAAAGAGCAGTTTTTGTCAAGAGCTCTCTCAGCCCCACCTACCTCACAGGGTGTCTGTTGTGGGGAGGGGAAGGGAAAGGAGCTTGTAAGCCACTCTGAGACTCCCTTGGGTAGTGAAGGGCGGGGTATCAATCCAATCTCCTCCTCTTCTTCTTCTTCATAAATATTTATTTAATTATTTATTAAACAGGATTTAATAGGCCGCCCTTCCTTGCAAGCAGGGCTCAGGGCGTTTTACAACAATATTAAACATTCACATCCAAGTACATTAAAACACTTCAATAAATAACCCTAAGTAAAAATGGTGTACAAAATACTTAAGGTGGCGGAGAGACCTGACTTCTCTGTCTACCTGGGGGGGAGGGGCCGAGAGGAATGAGGAACCACCTTGCGAGTGCCGGAAGAGGTCTCATCGCTGTCCTCAACCGAAAGCCCAGCGGGACATCTCCGCCTTGCATGCCCTGTGGAAAGGCAGCAGCTCCCGCAGGGCACGGATGTCTCCCGGCAGAGCGTTCCACCAGGCAGGGGCCAGGGCTGAGAAGGCCCTGGCCGAGGGCAGTCGGACTTCTCTCGGGCTGGAGACCACCAGCAAGTTCTTATTTCCCGAGCGTAGTGCCCTTCCAAGGGCGTACTGGGAGAGGCAGTCCCGAGGGTATGTCGGTCCCTGACCGCTACAGGCCTTGAAGGCCAGAAGCAGAACCTGGAACCTGATCCGGTGATCCCCTGGAGGCCAATGCAGCTCACGCAGCACTGGTTGAATATGTGCTGTACGAGGGGGTCCCCGTGAGGACGTGCGCAGCTGCGTTTTGGACCAGTTGTAGCTTCCGGGGCAGGCACAGGGGCAGGCCCACGTAGAGCGAATTGCAGTAGTCCAACCTGCACTTTGCGAAAACCGAATCTTCGCCTAATTCGGACTCACACAGAATTAAAGGATCCCGAAACTCAATGTCTGTGTCACGGATCCTTGTGGCTCTTATTTTAGGTTTTTCCCAGTACCCTGACCCTGTAGTTTTGTAGATTAGAAAATAATTTTTTTTAAAGAAACGCTCACCACAAAGGTCAGCACCCTATAACTGGGTGTGGATTCAGTGGTGGTCGGGGCAAGCCGCCTAGTCGGGACAATCCGTTGCCCACTCCTCGGGTGAGTGGGTTGTGGCAAGGCTGGCAGAACCGCCCCGGGTCTGAAGCCCGCTCACTCCTCCCGCGTCTGTGCCTTTCGGTTTAGTTTTGTGAAATCTTGAGCCCAGTGGCACCCTTAAAACCGACGGAGCTTAATCCGGAATATACGCTTCCGTGGGCGCGCACACCTTTCCGGAACTGTCCGAAGAAGGGCCCCTGCACACAAAAGCTTATATCCAGAATTAAACTTTGTTGGTCTTAAAAGCGCCGTTGGGCTCAAAAAAAATTCTGTTGGCTTCAGACCAGCACCACTACCCACCGGTGTTCCCTCTAAGCTGTGGGGTGTTGTGAGCAGTGTTCCCCCTAAGCTGAGTTAGTGTGAGCCAGTTTGGTGTAGTGGTTAAGTGCGCGGACTCTAATCTGGGAGAACCGGGTTTGATTCCCCACTCCTCCACTCACACCTGCTGATGTGACCTTGGGTCAGTCACAGGCTCTGGCACAGCTGTCCTTGAAAAAGAGCAGTTTGTGTCATAGTTCTCTCAGCCCCACCCACCTCACAGGGTGTCTGTTGTGGGGAGGGGACGGGAAAGGAGCTTGTAAGCCGCTCTGAGACTCCAAGTGAGGGGCAGGGTATAAATCCAATCTCTTCTCTTCTTCTTCTTCTCCTTCTTCTTCTTCGCAGTTCTCTCAGAGTTCTCTCAGCCCCACCCACCTCACAGGGTGTCTGTTGTGGGGAGGGGACGGGAAAGGAGCTTGTAAGCCGCTCTGAGACTCCAAGTGAGGGGCGGGGTATAAATCCAATCTCCTCCTCTTCTTCTTCTTCTTCTCCTTCTTCTTCCACGCAGTTCTCTCAGAGTTCTCTCAGCCCCACCCACCTCACAGGGTTTGTAAGCCGCTCTGGATTGCAGCCGCTCTGAGACTCCAAGTGAGGGGCGGGGTATAAATCCAATCTCCTCTTCTTCTTCTTCTTCTTCTCACAGTTTTTTAGCCTCCGGCTCACACCTTTTTGTCTTCGCTCAGGAAGGACAGCTCCAGAGCAGACTAATGTATGCAGTAAGCAAATCGCTCGCTCACAACTTTAATGCCGGTAGCTCACAAAGTAGAATTTTTGCTCACAAGACTCCACAGCTTAGAGGGAACATTGGTTGTGAGCAAACATTCTACTCTGTGAGCTCCTGGCCTTAAAGTTGTGAGTGAGCAATTTGGCCGCTGCAATAAATGAGTTTTCTCTAGAGCCATCCTTCCTGAGCGAAGGCAACAATGTGAGAGCCGGAGGCTAAAAACACCGTGAGCCAGCTCACACTAACTCAGCCTAGAGGGAATGCTGCTACCCACCTGAATCTATTTTGTGAAAATTGCAAACCTTTCTCATGTTTGATCATCCGTTCACGGGGATGTTCTGGCCAAACAGTTCAAAGTCTGTCACTTGAACTAGCATCTCAACTGACTCTTTGAATCGGCCTTTTAAGTTCAGGTTAGAAAATTCAGTAGCCGACTCCTTCAAGCCATTTGTTTGACTTGGTGGTGGTGGTGGGGGACTGATTGGCTTTCGCCTGTTGAATCACTTGATATTTACAGGTTTGGTTTTTCAAGTGGCATTTTTTGTGTGTGTCATGTGTATTCTTTTTCTTTTGGTGTAGTGGTTAATTGTGCGGACTCTAATCTGGGAGAACTGGGTTTGATTCCCCACTCCTCCACTTGCACCTGCTGACGTGACCTTGAGTCAGTCACAAGCTCTGGCACAGCTGTCCTTGAAAAAGAGCAGTTTGTGTCAGAGTTCTCTCAGCCCCACCCGCCTCACAGGGTGTCTGTTGTGGGGAGGGGAGGGGAAAGGAGTTTGTAAGCCGCTCTGAGACTCCAAGTGGAGGGGGGGGTATAAATCCAATCTCTTCTTCTTCTTCTTCTTCTTCTTCTTTTGTGGTAGGAAAAGGAGGGTATAAAATCCTAAAGTCACGCTCTTAAATAGCCACAGTTTCGACACACTTCTTTCCGCTGGGATTGTGTATGTTGTCCGAAAGAGGAATGCGAGAGAAGAACAAACTGTTTGCGCCTGTGGTTGGGCTTAGCTTTCCGGAACTCGGCTCCCGTGCTCATCCAAGGTTTTCCATCATGAGTCTGTTTCCTGAACTGAACCCCGGGCCACAAATCTGTCACACTGGTGCTCTCTGTAATCTCCTCTGGCCTTGACCCTGCTGTCTCTCTCCTTTTTTTGACAGGAACTCTGCAACTTTCAAGTCTTTCGAAGACCGTGTTGGAACCATTAAGGTAACCTTTCTCCGTTACAAGGAGATGTGCACTTCCCCTAGACCACACTGAAATGCCCCAGTGCCACCTTAGGCGGGGGTGGGGGTTTATATCGGAAGAGCTGGAGCGGACGTAGCAATGGTCACTTCCAGGCTTGACTACTGTAACTCGCTCTATGTAGGCTTACCCCTTGAGGCTGACCCGGAAACGACAGCCGGTGCAAAATGCAGCCGCGCGCCTGCTAGCATCGTCACCTATGCGGTCTACTGCATTGGTTGCCAGTTGACTTCTGGATCCGCATCAAGGTGTTGGTAATCACGTTTAAAGCCTTATACGGTCTTATGCGGTGGCTCAAGTGGTTAAGACGCTGAACTGCAGGCTGTGGAAGGTCGGTAGTTCAGCAGTTCGAGACCCGAGTGTGCCGCATGACGGAGTGAGCTCCCGTCTCTAGTTCCAGCGCCTGCCAACCTAGCAGTTCCAAAGCAAGAAATTGCAAGTAGATAAATAGGGACCACTTTGGTGGGAAGGTAACAGCATTCCGTGCGCCTTGGTGTTTAATCATGCCGGCCACGTGACCACGGAAACATCTTTGGACAGCTTTGAAACGGAGATGAGCACCACAACCCTAGAGTCGGATTCGACTGGCTTTCGAGCAAGGGAACCTTTACCTTTACTTATGGTCTGGGACCCACATATCTGAGGGACCACCTCAGTGTAGTGGTTAAGTGCGCAGACTCTAATCTGGGAGAACCGGGTTTGATTCCCCACTCCTCCTCCACTCGCACCTGCTGGTTGACCTTGGGCAAGCCATAGTTCTGACAAGAACTGTTCTTGAAAAAGAGCCGTTTCTGTCAAGAGCTCTCTCAGCCCCACCTGCCTCACAGGGTGTCTGTTGTGGGGAGGGGAGGGGAAAGGAGTTTGTAAGCTGCTCTGAGACACCTTTGGGTAGTGAAGGGCGGGGTATAAATCCAATCTTTTCTCCTCTTCTTCTTCCCGTATACGTCCCAAAGAGTGCTACGCTCTATGGACCAGCATCTCCTGGTTGTCCCCGGCCCAAAGGACGTCCATCTTGTCTCGGCCAGGGCCTTTTCCGCCCTGGCCCTATTGAGATATATGTCAGAGTGATAGAGGTAGCAAGCAGTTACTATAGATCAGTTTGATCTGTTTGTCAGACCTAGCTATCATGCTAGTGATCATGTAATTACAGCCAGGTGTTGCCCTTTCAGGGCTTGTTAGAGCTAGTGATTGCATCACCTTGTTAGAGATTGGCTGGGGTTTAGCATAATAGCTATCAGTTTAGTAAGCTGGACTCAGTTCTCATAGACTAAGGCATGACATGCTGTTTAATAGCCTGTAAATATCTCTGTATAGATTCACCTTTATAACTATATAAACTCTCTGTGCACCTTCATAACTGTTCAGTCTCCCGCTTCTTATTTACAACCCCCAATAGCCCCCCGCCTGGTGGAACAAGCTCCCAATTGAGATGAGGGCCCTGCAGACCACCCCCCGATCAACCCAAGGAATATGCCAGGGAACCCCCCCCCCCACACCGCCAGCTGATACGTTAGAAGTGTGACCGTGTTTGAATGTCTATTGTTTTCAAATTGTTTAATTTTAATTGTATTTTTGTATGTTTTACGACGTTGCCCGCCCTGAGCCCGCTCGCGGGATGGGCGGGCGAGAAATACTAATAAATAAATAAGTAGATTCGAGTCCAGCAGCACCTTAGAGACTATCAAGATTTTTTTTGGGGGGGAGGTTTATGAGCTTTCAAGAGGCATTCAGAGGTTGCCTCCCGGAACTGGGATTCACAGGTTGACTGCCTCTGAACGTGGAGGTTCACTAGTAGCCACCGACAGACCTCTCCTCAGTGAATCTGTCTAGAGCCAGTTTGGCGTAGTGGTTAGGAGCGCTGACTCTAATCTGTGAGAACCGGGTTTGATTCCCCACTCCTCCACGTGCAGCTGCTGGAGTGACCTTGGGTCAGTCACAAGTTCTCTCATGGAAAGAGCTCTCTCAGCCCCGCCTACCTCACAAGGGTGTCTGTTGTGGGGAGGGGAAGGGAAAGGAGATTGTAAGCCGCTCTGAGACTCCTTCACAGCCCCACCTACCTCACAAGGGTGTCTGTTGTGGGGAGGGGAAGGGAAAGGATATTGTAAGCCAATCTGACTCCTTCAGGTAGGGAAGAGTGAGGGTATAAATACATTCAATGCTCCCTCTAAGCGTTGGAGTCTTGTGAGCAAAAATTCTACTTTGTGAACTACTGGGATTGAAGTTGTGAGCGAGCAGTTTGGCTACTGCATAAATCAGTTTCCTCTGGAGCCCTTCTTCCTGAGCTGAGATAAAAGTATGTGAGCCGGAGGCTAAAAAACTGGGAGCTCGCTCACACGAACTCAGCTTAGATTGAACACTGAATGCAATCTCTTCTTCTTGTCGCCAGGACTTTGGAGGGCGTTTGAACCGGCAGGCATCTTTTAAGGGGGGGGGAGGAGGAGATCTGGGGCTTGCTGTGTTTTTTTTCCGGTTTCAAACCGGAAACATTTTTTAAATATTACCGTAAGCCGCCTTGGACCACACGGAAATGCGGGGTATAAACGTTTGGATAAATGAACCGCCTCTTTCCTTGTATAAACAATGACTACGGCTAACGTCATTTCCTGTTTGTTTTTCCCTCCCTCCCTCCCTTTCTTCGCACGCAGTCCAAAGTGGTGGGCAGCAGAGAGAACAGCGTCGACGAGCTACACTCCCCATCGGCCTCTGGCGACAAGCCCGCCCAGGACAACGCCCCTTTCTAAGGCCGCCCGCGCAGTGCCCGGCTGCCAGAGCCCCGCCCCCTTGCTCTTCTCAACACGCGAGACAAAAAGAAAATAAAAGTGGGTCCCCCCCGGTCCCCCCTCGGAAGAAAGAGATCCACACACCTTAGCGCCGCCATTTCCTCGCTGCTGGGTTCTCCAGGTCCAATAAAGTGAGCGCCCAGTGTGTTTTGTACACGATATATCTGACACTAAAGGGGTTCTGGGTAGGACGCACCGCGAGCGGCTCTCCTCAAAAGTATAGCAGCACAGCATTGTGGGGATTCTACACGTTTTGGCACCAGAGGCCTGCTTCATTCTCTGCCCCCTTCCCCGCCCCCTCCGCAGGCAGGCCGGATTTTGTCTCTCTAAGCAATGTGGAATAGCCGTGGAATGCGGGAGCGGAACAAGAGGCTTGGGGGGGCACTCCGCTCTCGGGCCCGTTCCGTGTAGCCCACGGGCTTTCAGCCGTTAACGGCGCCTCCCGTTGGGGGGGCGCGTTCAGGAAAACTTCAAATGTTACTGGTCCCCGTTTTAAGATAGAAGCATCTAACCGGGGGTGGGGTTGGGGGGGTGGGTAGGTAGAAGATAGCGCTTTTTTCTCGCGGGGCTCTTCCTGAAAGGGAAAACCTCCGCTCAGCAACCGCCTAAAGCCTTCGCCACATCGATCTCTCTAAGCTTTAACGAATCTCAGAATCTTTATTTTTTTGGAATGCAGTGGACTTCCCGACACACCAGCTTTTAGCATCGTTATTTTTTTTCTTGCCGGGGGGGGGGGGGGGCAGATAGACCTTCAGATGCTGAAGCTGACAACGCAAGCCTTACATCACCACCTGCTTTACCTGTTTATAATCTTTTTATATCTCCAGAGTGTGAAGCATTTTTCTGGGGGGCGGGGTGGGGGGGTGGATCGAAGCACCGGAGTTCTGCATCCAACCATAGTAACCACACGCAGATGTGTCCCGTGTTCATTTTAGTTGCGCCCATGCCCGCTCCGTCTGTATCTCTCTTTCTCTCTCTCTGCTGAATGTGGGGAACTTGTTTCTCCGCCTCTCCCTTTAGGCGCCACTGATTAGCAATCTAATTGGCAATGGACGTGGTTAGCGGGGCACATCCAGCCCAGAGGGGGGTCCCGTCTCTCTTTTCCACTGGGAACCCACCTGATAAAATCTATCTCTACGTTTTAACGTTGGCCACCGCTTACGCTTTCGGTTTGCAGCGGTCCCAGTTAACTGGCGTTTCCCCCCACCGTCTTCGCTTCCCCTCCCTCAGTGCCAGCCGCGCTCCGGAGCCGCGGGGTTTCAGAAAGGCCCATGTGCGTTCCGTCGTTCCCACCTTAGTTGTATGGCGGAAGCGCCTCTTCCGTAGTTTCTCCCGACCTTTTCAGGTGCCTTAGAGGCTCGACGGGATCGCCGCAGCGCCCCCCCAAAGATATATCAAGTCGGAGCCGTTTCAAGGCCATTGCCCCCTCCCTACAGAAGGCTTTCAGGGGGGTCCCCCTCCAGTCTTTGGAGAAAAGCAAGTTTTGACACTTAGATGTTGATGGTAGAACTTGCCCTGTCTTCCGTCTGTCGCGAGTGGATGGGAATTGTAGTGTAGGGATGTAACCCCAGCACGGCAACTAGAGGCGAAAATCAGCAGTCATTTGCCGGGGTTTGGTTTTTTTTGTGTGTGTGGGAGAATAAGATAGTCATCAGTGTTGGAAAGGGGGGGGGACACTGCCGGCGGGACAGGAAACCGTTGGAAGAGAGAGATGGAGCCTGTACTGTACTCTCCTGTGCTGGTGACTATTGGGGAAAACTTTGTCAATAAAACATTCCTTTTGGAAAAGCAGAACAACTCGTCCTTTCTGTTTGCTTGCATTTCCGCTGGGTTTCCGAAAGGAGGTCAAACTAGATCCATGCCCTTGGGAGCAACCACACCATTCGCGTTCAGCGCATTTGTGGCCACTATCCTTAATGCCGGCTGTCCAAATTCGGAGGAATTATTGCCTTGCCCAGAAGGATTGGCCTGTGTCCGGTGGAATAGAAGACGGAGGCTGGCAAATCAGCGCGGGGTGGGGAGAGGTAAGGTGAATGGCTCAAGAGAGGTTTGGAAAAGGAATTGCCCTTATTGAAGGGGGGGGGGGTGGCACCTGTATACAGCATTGACGAGAAAGAAGAGGCAAGGGTGGACTGAAAAAATTATGCTCGTGACGTCTGAAGATGTACAGGTTTACCATGGTAAATGTTTAAGGGTTGGAATGCGTTCTCAGGTGCGCGAAAGCTCTGTCCTTTGATAGAGAATATAAGAAATTAAGAGCCCTGCTGGGTCAGGCCAGTGATCCATCTAGTCCAGCATCCTGTCTCACACAGGGGCCAGCCGGTTCCTCTGGAGGGCCAACAACAGGGCACAGAGGCCGAGGCCTTCATAAGAACATCAGAAGAGCCCTGCTGGGTCAGACCAGTGAGGGTCCATCTAGTCCAGCCTCCTGTCTCACACAGTGGCCAACCAGTTCCTCTGGAGGGGCAGCAACAGAGCACAGGCCAAGGTTTACATAAGAAGAGCCCTGCTGAATCATCCTGTCTCACACACTGGTGTGCCAGTTCCTCTGGAGGGCCAACAACAGGGCACAGAGGCCGAGGCCTTCATAAGAACATCAGAAGAGCCCTGCTGGGTCAGACCAGAGGTCCCTCTAGCCCAGCATCCTGCCTCACACAGTGGCCACCCAGTTCCTCTGGAGGGCCAGCAACAGCGCACAGGCCAAGGTTTACATAAGAAGAGCCCTGCTGAATCATCCTGTCTCACACACTGGTGTGCCAGTTCCTCTGGAGGGCCAGCAGCATGGCATAGAGGCTGAGGTCTTCTCCTGATGTTGCCTACCGGCACTGGGATTCAGAGGTTGATTGCCTCTATGTTTGGCTGTCCAGAGCTTTTTACAGTGTACTGTCCACTTGTGAGTGGTATACTTAGTATACGCTCGGCATATGTGACACGTGTTCTGAAGGGATCTCCGGGGTCATCTAGACCAACCCCCTGCACAGTACAGGTTAAATAAAATTCTCCAGGATCCCTGGCCTGAAGAAAACTTGCTTCCTGACCCCCAAAGTGACAACCAGCGTTTCCCTGGGTGTGTAAGAAAAGGCCACGAGAACTAAGCACTGAGGCAACCCTTCCTGCCCTCCCTCTCATAATCTGCCTAAGTTCACAGAATCTGCATTGCTGTCTGATGGCCATCTAACCTCTGTTTGGAAACCTCCCAAGGAGAGACCACCACCTCCCGAGGACGCCTGGTCCAGTGACGAACCGATCTGTCAGGAAGTTCTTCCGATGTTTAGCCAAAAACTCTTCTGATTTAATTTCAACCCGTTGGTTCTGGTCCAACTTTCTGAGGCAACAGAAAACAACTCTGCACCGTCCTCTATATGGCAGCCCTTCAAGTACTTGAAGATGGTGATCCTATCACCCCTCAGTTGTCTCCTCTCCAGGCTAAACACACCCAGCTCCTTCAGCCTTTCCTCACAGGACTTGGTCTCCAGACCCCTCACCATCTTCGTTGCCCTCCTCCGGACACGTTCCAGCTTGTCTATATCCTTCTTAAATTGTGGTGCCCAGAACCAAACTCAATACTCTAGGTGAGGTCTAACAGCTGTTCTCCATTTTATCCTCACAACGACCCTGTGAGGCAGGTTAGGCTGAGGGTGTGTGACTGGCCCAAGGTCATCCAACAAGCTTCTATGCCAGAGGGGGGATTTGAACCCGATTCTCCTAGATCCTAGTCTGACACGACACTGCTTTGAAATGCCATTTTAGGTGAGACCCACCGGACAGTCAACAAAAGGCAATAATATTTGCAACTGTAAAGAATAGCTGTTATCGGGCCTATAGGTCCCATGGCTTTCATCAATTGTGATCAGGCTGTAAGTTTTTAAAGGTTTGGTCCTGGCCTGCTTTGAGAAAAATGTGCTGCTTACCAATTGCATGCACCTGGTGGCTCTTGAAGAGAAGAAGAAGAGATTGGATTTATACCCCGCCCTTCACAACCCAAAGGTGTCTCAGAGCAGCTTACAAACGCCTTTCCCTTCCCCCTCCCCACAACAGACACCCTGTGAGGTAGGTGGGGCTGAGAGAGCTCTGACAGGGACTGCTCTTTTTCAAGGACAGCTCTTATCAGAACCACGGCTTGCCCAAGGTCATCCAGCCAGGTGCAAGTGGAGGAGTGGGGAATCAAACCAGGTTCTCCCAGATTGGAGTCCTCGCACTTAACCACTACACCAAACTGGCTGCCTTATACCTCACCGTTCACTACCCAAAGGGGTGTCAGAGCGACTTACAAACTCCTTTCCCTTCCCCTCCCCACAACAGACACCCTGTGAGGTAGGTGGGGCTGAGAGAGCTCTAACAGAAACTGCTCTTTTTCAAGAACAGCTCTTATCAGAACTACGGCTTGCCCAAGGTCATCCAGGCAGGTGCAAGTGGAGGAGTGGGGAATCAAACCTGGTTCTCCCAGATTAGAGTCCACACACTTAACCACTACACCAAAAGGCATTAGAAGAATAAGAGAAGATTGGATTTATACCCCACCCTTCACTACCCAAAGGCTTACAATCTACTTTCCCTCCCCCTCCCCACAACAGACACCCTGTGAGGTAGGTGGGGCTGAGAGAGCTCTGACAGAAACTGCTCTTTTTCAAGAACAGCTCTTATCAGAACTACGGCTTGCCCAAGGTCATCCAGGCAGGTGCAAGTGGAGGAGTGGGGATTAAACCCAGCTCTCCCAGATTAGAGTCCGCGCACTTAACCACTACACCAAACTGGCAAAGCAGCTGGCATAAGACACTCTTATCTAGTTTGCCACTAGCAACACTGCTTTAACCAACTATGCCCTGACTGGCCAAAGGGGGCTTATGGCCGAACGAAACGGTAGCATGCGGACACTGACTCTACTAGGCCGTAGGCGATAGAAACAACAACTCCCTCTGACTTTGCACAATGAATTGATTCTAAGGAACTGACAACTGAGGAAGCAAGTGTTCTTTTGTGTTAATAAGCCAGCTTTTAGTTTCTGTTAGCCCGGGTGTTGTTATTTTGTTACTGGAGCCTTCAGAATTGTTTCTGCCTAGCACACATTCTGTGAAACCTGACAGGTTTTCTTTATCATAAATTAAAGGGATATTTTAACTTGGTGCTTAGAGCTACCTGTTGAGTGCTTGCATTTCCCTCTCAGAAACGAACCCAGGGTCTTGTCATGACAACAACCCCTTTCCTCCTCGGTTCTCAGAATAACCCAAACAAAATGGCCAAAGTTTGAGTCCAGAGGCACCTTTAAGACCAACGAAGTTTAATTCTGGGTGTAAGCTTTTGTGTGCATGTGCAGTTCTTCCAGGGAAACAAAGTTTGA